AAAGCTGATACATAGTTTGTTAAAATTATTTGATATTATTTTTTTTTAACTTGTTAGAAAACAAACTAAAACCCCCTCACAAAATGCCCTTCTTGCAGTTTACGAGCCCAATATGTCTTATATTAAAAAACACATTTGCTCACAGAAATTTTCCCGGATGTGATGTTGTAGGTCTGGCCGTCTAGTTTTTAATTTGGAAACATGCACTATCTTATTCTCTGCCTTTAATGTCTGGCCCATGAAATGCAAAAAGACCCAATATTGAGCTATTTTATAAGTGCATTAAGTTTACAAATTACTTCTTTAATGAATAACCTTCTGAGACTCCATTTGAAGGGCCATTATCTGAGTGTTCCAATCTATTGCCTCACCTCCAGACTTTAACATTTATTATACTGATGAGATGCAATTAAAAGAGCAGATGTCCACAAGCTGCTCTCATCTGAGACGAGCAAATAAAATACCAATCCCCCCAATAACATAACTTATAAAAAGACTTTGCTTAGCCGCACGACAGGTAACCAAAGAAAACAAAAACTGATTTGTTTATGCTGCAAACGTGCAGTCTACTGATTTAATATTTTGAATTAATATTTAAACAGTTATTTAAATATTTTGAAATTTATATTTTCATATATTTAGTATTTGCACATCCTGTATGTGGCCATAGTCTTTGAATTAAAATTTGAATGTTTTATGTTTGCGACAAACACATGCGATAGTGCGGTCATGCTTTTCAAATTAAATACATTGATTTTTATGGATTTCCTATTTTGTTATGTTTCCCCTAGACACTGCGGCAGTGTGTGAACATCCCTGAAGAAGTCCAGCCCTGTCCCAAACAACTAATTGGAATGACCCCATTTAGCAACGTGTCAGGGGAACACGACAAAGTCAGTGGCTCCACAAATCTTCTGTGGTCCAAACTTAATAGCATGTCATGGTGTCCACAACTAATGCTGGAGGGGTCACAAAAACCCTTATGACTCATGTTAGTTGACGGCTCTTTCTTTAGCAGTGTGAATCCAAGCTGTGGGCAGAGTGAAGAAAACACAGTATGGCGTGTGCATAGGGCATAAACATTTGGCTAGGTTAACCAGACATCTCTTGTTGGATCCCAACAATATAAATGTATTCGCTAGCATTTCTCTTACAGTGTCCATGTTACACGTGTAAATACTGATTAAAATAGTAATAATAATGATAACAGTAAATCTGTAAATTTACTGTATATACTATATATATATATATATAACAAATGTAATTACAAAATGAACAATGTAAATTATTTCTTTAACTAAATAAAAGAGTGTATTGTCTATGCAGGGAGACTAAAATTATTATTATTTTCAAATGTTGACTTTTTAAATTTGCGGTCGCTCAGTTAATGTAGTGTTGCATATTACGGTAAAACATGTTACATGTCTGACCTATCAAAACAAGAAGAATGACCTATTTGCATGTCTTTGCACTACCATTCTATATTGCTTTCTTTACAAAGCAATGATAAATACTCTGAAAATAATCATCCATCTCAATGCAAATAACAGTCACACTCCACAGACTCTCTGGCGCACTGTTGTCAATTTGCGCTCTGCGTTCAAGTTTAAATGTCTTTTTTTCTCATCCTGCTCTCATTGCAACGTGTTCACCCGAACAAGACAGCGCTGAAGTCAGAGAGAGGTCAAGCGCATATGAATGAAGGAGAAAACTGTCAGCTACTTTTACATTACAGAGAAAGAACAGCGATGCATCCATCTCTAGTCAACAGCTGTGCAACAATCACAGAAAGTTCAGCAGTGAATTTAAATGCAGCTCGATATCTGGCTATGGGAAACATACTGAGAGGCTTAAAAATATGGAACTAACTGTTATTTACGGCTGCATGAGTGCAGTTTAAGGTTAATAGTTATGTAAGGCTCGCCTTGACTGTTATGTAACTTGTTGGAAGGCGCATTGTCATTTTTCGTTCTCAAGCGAGACGCTTAGAAAAATAAATACGGCTAACGATGAAATGAAGGTTCACTCCTTGAAGAAATTTACAAGAAGTAATGCTATTTTTGTTTAATGTTCAAATGTCGAAAAGCTTTGACTTATTGATTTGAATCGCACTTTTGCGTTCAGACTGCATTTCAAAATTAGACAAAACTCGCTAGTCTTGCTCAAATTAAACAGTAATTTTATTCTATGTTTAACTAGATGATGGCGTCGAAAAAGCAGCTTATTATCAAAATATTCTGTCTTCTTCTAAGAGAGTTGACGGAGAAACCCTTTTGTTTTCCAAGCAGTCGCCAATTTATATTAAATATATATTTTTAATGTATATATTTTTGTTCTGCCCATGTGGTAAAATTCCGTTTTTTTGTTTTGTTTCGTAAAAGCATCAAATATGTATTCCTTGTGACAATTCATAAGCCTCTGCATTATGTTAGAATCGTTAAAGTTTTCCTAAAGTATTTTTGTGCTATATCCAAAACAATGCAAACAGATATAGCCTACGGCTGTATAATTTTATGTTCTCTGCGCGCCTTTAATGTGGTGTTATTAGGCATATTACGTGTGCAACACCTAAATGGATTTTAACTGTTTTTTTTTTTTAAGCTTGTCTTAAATTCAGTTTGAATATTGGGGTTACCACAACGGGCAAACTGACAAAAACAGGCACGGGTATCTTAGTTAACAGTCATATCCATCAAATAATCTAACATAGCCACGTTGTAATGGCGTTTGTCCATGGATATGATTGTTGTTCTTTTATTTTCTGGGGGAAATAGGAGTAATGAGGATAACAGGCGAGCGAAACGACTTCCTTCAAAAATGTGCATGCCATTGTACGGATCAATACATAACACTTTCTGCTTCTACTCTAACGGTGCATGAATGAAAATGTACTAGAACGTTTGAATAGATAGAGTGTTAAATAGAGTCGAACAATTCATTTTATTACCATCATTCACATATCTCAAAACCTAATAACCCGTGGAAGGAGAATATGAACATATTTCGAAAAAAAAATAAAAAAATCACCTCAGACATAATGCATTCCGTATTCGCCCCTACTGTTTGATGTGCCAATATGTTTATATTTTCCCGAAGTCAGTATCTCCTCCTGTCGGTGGGCTATTTCTCACGCGCACGGCAGTCTGCACTCGCGCCTGCACTTGTGCACACCCCCAAGAGGACGTGTAAACATTGTAGCGTATATCGCATTTTCCTTTAAGCGACTAAAGCACCGCTTTGCAACTAGCATGTCGTCGGATCACATTTAAAAACAAAAATACATCCAAATGGCCACGAATTAGAAACACTGCAATGCTCGATTCATTAGTTTCATAGCCTTGGGGCACAGTTTAAATTTGCACATGCTAATGATCTTGTGTTATCTGAGACACACACACAAAGTTGCATGCATGCATAGTAGGCTACTCCTAATAGTACAGACCGCGTGCTTGCCTGGATTTACGAGCGCTCAGATTGCCCACCTCCCTCCATAGGTACACTCTAAAAAAATGCTAGGTTGTTTCAACCCAACTTTGGGTGAAATATGGACTAACCCAACTTTTGGGTTAAAAATTTGATGTAAAAATTTAACCCAACGGTTGGGTTAGTCCATATTTAACCCTAAGTTGGGTTGAAACAACCCAGCATTTTTTAGGTTTCCTCTCTTATTCTGGAAAACTTTGCACTTTCTGACCGTGAAGAAATGGGCAATGGTTAAACGATTTATCATTTTGTAGATTTGAATACCCAAACAGCATATTTTGCAGTTGGCAAAATCGCTCAGTGAGAATTGTGCACTGGCGATATTAAGCACGCTCATGATCTTGATGTGCCTAATGGGGCGATCAAGCAAGTTGCAACCAAGAACAAAAGCCCAACAGTGACTCTTCTTGGACTAAAGTCCTTCGCTCCTACCATATACTGGTCCCAAACAAGCATAATTATATAAGGCCGTGACGAGAGTTAAGTAATGCGAACTATTTAAATAAGATCACGTAGAGAAGTGAATTCGTCACGATTTGACATTTTAATGCATTAAAACGTTACTCTGGGGACTGTGTTGTTTTTATTTTCTGACAATAATGAGGGGTACAAAAGTGAAATTAAATTACTTAGAAAATAATTCGTCTTGCTGAATTAGTGGGGCAAAATATAAAAGCAGGCATTGGTTTTATTTAGGGCTGAAATGTCATTTTGATTTGTGTAATTCACTTTTCCTTCTTTAAGCGTTAAATCCTAACTCTTGTTAACACCAGGGGTTATTGTTGTTATAGTTATGTAATGATTTAATTTCGACTCTGTTTATTTCGAAATGATAAATAAATAGAAATAATAAATAGGTTAACTCGTGGAGTCTCCTCGTTGGTATTTCTCCAGCTCCAATTCAATTGTTTAAAGCACAGTCGAGAAATAAAGTATTGAAGGCATTTTTTTTTTTTGTTGTACGTTTAATTCTTTAATATTGTACGAAAAGTAACAAACATTATTTTGTAAACTAAATTTTACATACCCTACGAACGCATTTTCCATAAATACCGATTATCTCTAACATGTGTTATCGGTCCTTTACATGCGGATAAATATGGAAAATTGAGTTATATACAAGTAATAATTTCTTGCAATTGCCAATGCAATAGACAGATAGTTTTATATTTTATCACTTACATAAACAAGATTGACACGAAGCTTCAGGCTTTCACTACACGGTTTATCGACATGACATTAAATAACAACAACTGTGTGCTACTCAGACTGGCCTACACGTGTAATTTGTTAGTTATTATACAACATGTAACGAATAGAAATTATTTGCGTCACGGAATTGTGCTTGGTATGAAAATTATTAATAGGACAAATAAACAAATAATGAAAAAATTACAAACAAATATTAGCATTATTTGCTTCGCATATTATGTCCGTTAATTAAAACATATATGACATACAAAATTATATCAGTAATATCGCAATGAATATATATAAAAAAATAAATAAATAAATGCATGTTTTACCGGTGTGTGTTCTTTTATGGATTTTCAGATTTTCCGATCGGGCAAATACTTTTCCACAGCCGGGGAAAGGACACGGAAACGGTTTCTCTCCGGTGTGCACTCTGATATGATTCACAAGTTTATACTTTGCTTTAAACGGTTTCCCTTCCCGGGGACATTCTTCCCAAAAGCAAATGTGATTCGACTGCTCTGGTCCCCCAACGTGCTCCACCGTCAGGTGGGTCACGAGCTCGTGCATGGTGCTGAAAGTTTTGTTGCAGGACTTTTTCGGATTCGTCAGCTGCTCTGGTTCGATCCATTTGCAGATGAGCTCTTGCTTTATGGGCTGTCTCATGTAGCGAAAGAAGGCCCCTGCCCCGTGATGGGCAGCCATATTCATGTTCATGGGGCCATAGCCGTGCAACTGCGTCGAGGCGTAGTGCTCGGACCTGGGGCTCGCGACGTGACCGTATTGCTCGGCCCTGCCGTACATGTCCCCGGAGAAGCCCAGGCGCATCTGACTGTTCACCACGTTGGAGGACGCGTGTGTGGCCGCTTGCTCGTGCAGTCCCTGGAAGAGCAGGTGCCCAGCGGCGTCAGAGTGTCCATGTGGTCCGGCGAAACTTCCAGCGGCGGAGGCGAACAGACTGTGCTGCGCGCTCGTGGCGTCTCCGAAGCCCCGATTGCGAAAGAGAAAGTCCCGAGTGGAGTTGAAGGCGGCGGTGGAGTACGAGCTGACATGAGTGGGGTGATGATGGTGTCCCAGGGCAGCGGCGGCCGCGTAGCCGGGCGCTTGCGAGGAAAACGCCGTTTGACCAGAGCCGAGGTCGTGGGAGCTGTGGTTGATTTTGAAAGCGCCCATACCGTCGGCGAACGGATTGATACCCAAAGCCACTTCTCTGTCTGTAACTTCGCCTGTTGAGTGATGTCTGGTGGAGCCGAATGTAGTCACTCCAATGGTGGGATAAACCTCTCAGATTCTTCACAATGTGTGTGTATGTAGGTCCACGCGAGAATAGGCTGACTTTTGAGTCTTGGTTCCAAAGCAGTCTTAATTCTGCAGTCTTTTGAAAATATTTACACGTACCATTCATTAAAATTTGACGAAAGGGTGCTGTGGCTGCTCGTGTGGTGAACTGTGGATGATGCCGGTGATATGGAACTGCTGCTCTGGTTTTCTGTGGAAGGGGACACGATGGTGGGCGGCGTGGAGGACTCGTAGCCGGAGCTGGCTGCCGGGGAGGGTTGGGGTCCTTGAGGCGACGACTCGTGAACCTGAGAACCGTAAAACTATACTTTTACATGTGCCTCATAATTTCGAATCTCAAACTGTACCAACCGATTGCGCCTGACAATTTCAGTCAGACTGTATTTAGCTTTATGTTTAGATTATGGCGGTATTTAGCGTTAGCTTTTATATAAGAATCGCATATCATTTTGGTGCATATAACAACATTATTCAACACATTAAAAACATTGCATAAGAGACCATAAATAAAAGTAAACAGTAAAAACGCGTTATTTTTAAATCAGCGCAGAAATTAAATAAGAAAATAAATAATGTAGGTGAAAAAAAAATAATGCACGGTAATATTATTGTTACCTTCATGTGTTTCCGGAGGGAGCTGGGATGTGTGTAGGATTTATCACACATTTTGCAGAGATATGGTTTGTCAGAGGTATGGACGTGCATGTGTTTCTTGCGATCACTGCTGTTCGCAAAGCGTCTGTCACAGCCTTCAAACTCACACTTGAAAGGTTTTTCACCTAACAAAAACAGAGCAAACATCTCTCAAAATACGCATTTTAGGATGCCAGCACATGTTTATTATTATTATTATTATTAATTAAAATATGTTACATTTGGAGATACATAAATACAGCAAATAAATATGAGCAAATATAAACGCGTTAAAAAAGTTCCTGTCCATATTCCACTACAAAACACGACTCACAAAATTATTTATTTAAATGTCACCCAAATTGTTTACGTTATTTTGCAGTCACTCCAATGGTGGGATACTGTGGTCCTGCGTCCAAGAGCATCTTCAGTCTGCAGCGGAGGAGACTGAGAGAGGAAGAATCTCTAGCAACTGTCTCTGCTTGCTATTTCTCTGACTTGTGTCTGTGCGAGGCGAACTCCGATCCCCTATTCCTATTTACTTTTAGTGGAGAGGAATTTCCCTCTCCTGCTCATCCGATGCGCACGCAAATCATGTGCAATATTGTCTTTTTGCGGTTTATCTTCCTGTGGCGCAACTTTCACCTCCTCAGTCAGGCGGTGAGCTTCAGACTGATAGTCGCAATCATTCCTGCAGATAAATGAATTGAAAAGACAACACAGTCCACCCCTGATGAATGGGGAAGGAGGGGGGCAGCACGTGACCCCGTGCTTGGACCATCATTGGAGAGGGCGCTCTCCCCCTACTAACATTCACTCACCAAATAACAGCCCGCCATGCCTCAGCATCAGTGCGATTGGTCGGTTTACATCATCAATCTATGAGATTGTCGGGAGGTTGCTGACTGTTATTTTGCTCTGGATGTTGAAATTCAGAAAACAGAGTTTAGTGAATGCATGGCCGAATAATAGCTTTTGTCCTAGACGGAGTACTTCCACGTTTGGCCTACTTATGTGAAAGCCTGATGCTCTGAGAAGAACCTGGCGCGCATCTAGTAAACACTGGCTGAAATGTGATTTAGTGTAGTCTGTTCTTACATGACATGGAACTCGTGCTTTTCATCCTGAAAAAAAAAATGCTGTGTTTAAAAAAAAAAAAAAGCGCTATATACGTTTTTTTTTCTTCATAAACGTGTACGAGTAAAAATTGCACCTAGCAATATTCATGCCTTAAGTTGAAATCCTAAATGCTATTTGCATCTTTAAAAAAAAATGAATGCACAACATTGTCAACGGTACAAAATAATAAATATAAAGATATTTGTTTTTGAAGATACTAAATATTGCATAATGCATAAAGTTTCTGCCTACTTTAGCAGTTGGCATTTCATGTCTGTTTGACTTTCTTTACACGCATCTTTTAAATGAAGTTTTCACTTCAGAGATATCTGAGAAAGTCTTTTAAACACCCCACATGCTCTGCGCACTCAGTATAGGCCTTCCGCAGATGCCTTCAAACTTCAAATAATAGATTCAAACCTGAGAACGAGGTGGCTCTTTCCGTTATTCATAGTTTTAACCTATGTTTTTGAAAAATTAAGGCCGTAATGTATCACCCGTGTGTGTGTGTGTGTGTGTGTGTAAAAGTTGTGGATTGTAGAAGTTGTGAAGTAGGATTTCTCTCTGTAGGAAACTTCAGACTGAAGCCTTCAGCTCCATACACCCCAAACTCATTCGAGAGAGAGAGAGAGAGAGAGAGAGAGCGCGAGGGCCAGGCGAAGCTGTTGAGTTGAATTTTTTGTCTGAAGGACGTTATCTTTATAAAAGAAATCTGGACGATGTCTTCAACAGGTGAAGAACGGTAAGACTCGTAGCGTGGGGACGAAATAAGTTTTGGAGGCTGGAATCATTGGGAAATATTTACCGAGCACCGTAAACAGATAAAACTAGCAAAAAGTTTTTTTGTTTTTTTTTCATGCACAACAATTAAATTCCTTAAAGACTGGACACATTGAAGTGGTAGGTGCAATAAGAAATAATCTATTATCATATTTTTTTAAATAAATTAATACTTTAAGTATTAATAATTTAAGTGCCATTCAGCCTTATTTTTATTTAATTAAATAAATCATTTATATCTACTAAAAGTATCAACATGCCAAGAATTTTCCCTATAAGAGTGTGTAAAATAGTTATTTTAACAGGCTGTTAATGTGTTTGAATTGGCGAGTATTTCTTAGAAATTGACCTTTTTTTCTGCATTTGAATTTTTAATCAATGTCAATGATTTTGGGCAATAGCTGACTTTCATTCCCAAGTGTTATGTTCCCTTGTCTTTCTTGTCAAATTAAACTCGCTTTGTATTTTGTCATACTTTCCCCTCTACCCTGCAAAAAGTAGCTGAAAATAAACTTTTCGTTACGTGCTAAAGAAATGCCTCAAGAATGCAACTGCGACCCATTCGAGCCTGAGCCCCAACCATTTGACTAACATCTTCACCATTCGTCATAGTTCACACAATGTTTACTTATTTATGACACGGATGGTGTGGTTTTGTCACTAGAAGCCTGACAGATCAAGCCATGACCGTTCTCAAGGGAATACCAATTTACTTGCATCGATAATTGAATGCATCTTGACCCTGATTAAAATGAATCCGCCTAAAGTTGAAGAAATGCCCAAGGTCACGCTTTTATTATTTTAATAGATTACAATTGTGGATTTTAGACTGAAGTTTTGCGTTCACGTGTGAACGTAATACATGAACATATAACGATCACAATGGCCTTCAGATGAAGTAGTATTTCCGTGAAATGCGATTTTGCAGACTTGCAATCACAAATCTACTACTACACACACACACAATCAAACGTTATGTCACATTATATACCTTTGAATGAAGTTACAAAACAAAGTTTCCATTTTTCATCGAGACACATGAGCACTAATACTATCTAAATGTTGTCTCCATACTCTCACGTATAATCCGCCTAACTCCAGTGGAGATTGAACAGATGATTTTTGACATATATCTAATACTAACTGTCTGACCTTTTTAGGTCAGTTCACCCAACACTTTCTATTTGTGTCCGGCTGGTTTGATTACGATAAAGCTTCAAACAGTTGCAATTACGGTAATAATTCTGTATTTGAATTCTATATTTAAACTTCTATTGTGCAAGGAGGGAAACATTCATTTCACCAAAACTGTGCAAGAAACCCATTGCAATTCACCAAAACTTCGTTCACCTCATGATGATTTAAACTGCTTTGACACAGAGCCTGTTTATGGCTTATTTTATTGCATATTGGGAAATTACGTTCAATGCCATACAAAGAAACAAACAATAGCATTAAACTTTTATTTACAAGGTCAAGGAGTTTTAAGTAACACACTATAATGTATGCTATTTTTGATTAAGAAAAATAAAAAAATTGATATATTTTATAAAACTGTTTGGGGAAAAAAATATATATCTTTGCGGCAACATGGACACAAATAATTGTTTTTAACATTCTTCATTCCTACCACAAAAAGAGACATTAATTTATTGTGGAAGATCAACATGTATCAAAATGCACACTTCATTAGATAGCTAGCCTATTGTTAATTGTTGTGAAGCGTATTAAACTTTTAACTTATGTTAGACCTTGTGGACATACATACCACTTAGATGTACATTCACTGACCATATCTGCTAAGTCAGTTTTATGTCTTGGAAGATTAGCATTCGCGTGCAGTGCCTTCTAGGCAAAGTTCAAAGAATGTTACTAAAATTCTTGAGCCTGTTTTCATGAGGTGGCCACCTTCCATTTGTTTTCAAGCTTTCTATACAAGACAAACGCAACAGTCGATTGTTGATTCATGATTGTACGCTATTTATAACAGGTGCACTGTCAACAGTGTGTTTATTAAATATTGGTGGGTAATCTGTTGTGATAAACTTTTACGCATCGGAAAGACTGGATTAGATATGTATTAGGATTTTTATTTAGTAGCTACTCGAGCTATTTTGCCAAGACTTCTTTGCTGCCCTGTACACTTTTGATGAAGCACCACCTCCTGTGTGCCTGATCCGCCGCCGCTGAACAACTGAGGCCGAAAATTACCCCCGATCATAACAACAGGTCTTTTGCGTTCCTTTCCCCCCCCCCCCCCTCCGGACAATAGGCGACCTTTGCGCTTTTCACAAGACACCGATCCCATGACGACGTAGAAGCACCGTTAGAGAAAAAAATTAGGTTTGATAACTTTTTTCGACAAAAGGGTTAAATACAGAGTCTGAGCAAGCTGCATGCAACTGCAAACTTGAACTTTTTACTAACCGCCGTTTTCCATGTTTATTATGGAGCTTCTTCAAACGTTCTCTATAACGGACTACTAGACCGAACCTATGTCGCATTTGTATTGCATGCAAGTCTGTTGTTGCGGTAAGCGGCTAAAAGCGCAGTCGCCGATTTTCCACAGCTGTAATATAAAGACAGGTTACATTGCTTCGATGTAACTTCGAGATTGCAGTTAAAAGTACAATAACCTTTGCATAACAAAAACTTTTTTTTTTCATCCGCTGCCTGAGGCTCGGCGCATGCGCGCTCTCTGTTTGCTGTCACTAAAACATTTTTCTTCGCATTGGAAAGCTTCTTCTCTGCACGGATACGGCGGGCTCAATCTGAACATGAATCTCAGCGCACATCACCACCACGGAGCTGGCGCTTTTTTCCGATACATGAGGCAGCCGATCAAGCAAGAGCTCATCTGCAAGTGGCTGGAGCCAGAGCACTCGGCGAAAAAACTTTGCTCCAAAACTTACAGCACCATGCACGAACTAGTGACACATGTGACTGTGGAGCACGTCGGAGGACCGGAGCAAGCGAACCATATCTGTTTTTGGGAAGAGTGTCCGCGAGAGGGAAAGCCGTTTAAAGCAAAGTACAAACTTGTGAATCACATCAGAGTGCACACCGGAGAGAAACCGTTTCCTTGTCCGTTCCCCGGCTGTGGAAAAGTATTTGCCCGATCGGAAAACTTGAAAATACACAAGAGGACGCACACAGGTCAGTGGCTTAATTTCCCGTCCCTTAGGACAATTTAGTTCAATGCTAAGGGCTCGTAAAACTCCTCCGTCACTAGACATACCCCAATGAAGCTGAAGTGTAAACGAATCGATGCACAGCAACTGGTTTATAAATGACGTGAGCTAGCTTGTAAGCTAAATAGAGGCACAGTTTGTCAAAAAATCCGCTTTTAAGAAGGTTTACTTTTAAGAGATTGTATCGAAAAATAATATATGCAGTGGTTCATAAAGGGTTTTCGCAGAACACTCACCATTATCAATGTTGTCACTGTTATTTGATGAGTTTTAATAGGCTACTTGTATTTAGTATACGCTAACAGAATATTATTTTAACAATGTAAGTCGTATTTTTTAAAAAAGAAGGGGAGAATATAATGGTGGAGTGTTACTGTTTCTGATTTCTGACTTGCCTTTTCTAATCGTGTGTTGTAAAGATAATGTATTCCTTACTTCATCAGATTGCTTACAGCTTTGCAGCACATCCATATGTTTGGGGCCTACTGAGTCCAGTTTAGTCGTCGACTGACGAAAATAATAATATCATAATGATAAATAAAAGACGAAGCGGTAGGGTGCTGCCTTATGTTAAAAACCCAAATTATTTATTGTCCACAATAAATCGTTTATGGACATAATCTGTTTATATTACAATTACTCAAAGTTGTACGCAAGTATTTATGGTCACATTGCAAACTGCTATACCCTACTCCTTTGCTACATTTTGGAAACCACAAACACTCGTTAAAAAACAGCACATTTGTTCAAGTACTCAGTTGTCCCTTCAGAACGATCTGCAGGGGCATGGTAGCATTTTAGATAGGCTAGTGTCTTGTTTTGCTTACACTGCAGGTTTTGTGTGTGTTCCAGTTAGCCTACCCTTGGTCACCCCCCACCCCCCTGTCATTAATTGCACCAAGGGACATGATGTTGTAGTTATTTCCATATATTTCTGAACTGTAAGTAACTACGCATAGACTGATGACAAAACTTGCAGACTGACCGCATGCAACAAGTTCTGAAAGAGTAAATCAAACGTGACTTCACAGGATAAACTTGACATGTTACTAAATGCAACATATTAATAAAATGCATTAGGTTGATATAGTTATTTTTATTGATGTTATTGCTTTGTGGGCTCTTCACAGCTAGAAGCAACTGGGAGAATATATTTTTGCATTTCAGGTTTAGTAGAGAAGGTCGATGCTCGCCAGTGAGATTGTTCTTTTTCTTTTTGCATAATAAGTAAGGCTACTACGTGAAACGTTTCACTAGAAACTAGTTCTAAGATAACCGTTTCTTTCAGTTATGATGTGTAACCAACGTTATGTATTATTTCTGTGCGACCTTCCCGAGTGCAGCCGCACTATTTTCTTGCTTGGGCGCCAATGGGCGGTATTTGAATCTTTGTTATGGATATGGTTTCCCAAGGGTCTCTTCCTTGCTGCTTTCTTGTAGTACACTAATATTCTTGATTGGCTTTCTCGGCCCAACAGCTGAAGGTCAAATTGATATTCAGCAAGCAACTGTAATTAGACAGCAGCAATTACGTAGTCTTATAAACTCCTTCGGAAATAAGCGTGATGTGATTAAATGTAATTAATTCAAACATTTCTATTGCCTGGCTGCCTTCTCCAGCAGCTATTATGGTTACAGAGGGACAGGCCTAATAGCAGTTTAGATGGTGGATCAGATGTATTTTATGAGATCTTTCTGCCCTACATTCCAAAGGTAAATGTAACTACTACGAGGGCAAACGCTTTAAAGAACGGATGCCCAATGATCTGTAATTGTGAAAAGAAATAATTGCTGTCTGAGAGTCCCAGACACAAGGGGCCTGCCATGAGAGCAGACAGAGGAGTAAAAAGATAATCACGATATCATGGGGCTCATGTGACCTGATTTACCCTGTACAGTTTGACATGCGTTCGACTGATGCAAATGATATTTGCTTATGTGCTCAATGTGCAATAATGTGCTTTACCTGTATTTGACCATTGTCACAACTGTTTTGTTGTTTTAGGTGAAAAGCCTTTCAAATGCGAGTTTGACGGCTGTGACAGACGGTTCGCCAACAGCAGTGACCGGAAAAAGCATTCCCACGTACACACTAGCGATAAGCCGTACAACTGCAAAGTCAGAGGTTGTGACAAATCGTACACTCATCCCAGCTCTTTGAGAAAACACATGAAGGTGCACTGCAAGTCCCCACCTCCGAGTTCGGGTTACGAATCATCGACTCCATCTCTTGTTTCTCCTTCATTGGACTTGGGAAGGGAGCCAGCTCCCTCTGCGCTCTCCGAGCCTCTCTCATCATCGTCCCAGCCGGCCAATTTAAGCGAATGGTACGTGTGTCACAGCTCTGGTGCCAATGGCCCTCAGACCCCACCCAGCGGTTCATCCACACCGGGCCATACAGAGGGGCCAACGTACGGCAATCGTGAACGGAGGGACGCCTTCTAGCAAAATGTAATATTCTTTTGGCAAAGCGACTAAAATGACTTTGACATCTTATCTTGTTTGGACAGTCCGTTTTGGACTGGATGGTCGCAGGCTGACGCCTGTGGAAGTCAGTTCAAAGAGTAGGCTTGTTCACTTTTACTGCCTTACTGAAGGATGCACTGGCCCTTTGACAGCTAATGTCACTGCCTAACCACCAATCGATATTAAACACGTCCCGAGTGTCTATGTTTCTAAATAGTGTACCTACCGTACGCGTGTCACTGTATTATTTTGTAAATTCCGCTTTGATTTCAATATCTTTTTAATTTATTTTTTAATCGGTAAAGAATTATAATTTTTTGTATTATTGAACCAAAGTGCTTAATTATTAAACCTGTACAGTTGTAAATGACAACGTTTTAATGTCTATGTGTGAACAGTAATTTTGTAAGGTTTTGTCTTTCAGCAATTTTTAAATGTTTGCTACTATACTTTGTACAAAATTAATAATTTGGATGATTTGAATTTCATAAAGACGTATACTCTTTCCTCTTTTTGTGCTTTCACCAGCCAAGCCAATTTGATGGAAACAGTGTTATTGTATTTGATATGAAGGTTAATTTATGATTAGTCATTAATCAATGTGGTTATTTTGTGATTTTGTAAAACTGTCAGCAATCCATTTTTATGAAAAAAAAAATTATAATTATCAGAAGAGACCTTAAAATGTGTACCGAAATGCCTTGTAAGTTGTCAGTATTTTGAATAAATCGTGTATGATGCACAGCTAAAAGACCTCCTACATTACGCAAACAAAAGGGGTCCTAATGGCTGTAGGAAATTAAAAAGGGAAAGTAAATAATATATATATATATATATAAAAAAAAAAAAAAAATATATATATATATATATAATTTTTTCCCCAAGTTATACGATATTTAAATTAGACATCATCTATTAGAAAACACCTAAATAATCACAATATACACTATCCTAAAATGACTCAAACATAATATTAAATACCAGCCAACTTAAAATAATTGTAATTCTCTTAGCGAATCCCTTAGCGATAACTTGTTTTATATCCTTTTGTATCGCTTATACACACAGATATACTCCAGCTTTACACTCCAATTACATGGGCAGCAATTGATGAAAGACTTGCATATTTTCACACAGACTTCAAAGAGCCTTTTATACAAAGAGACATTTTTTTCCACGACGGTGAATCTTCATGGTGAGTTAAGAATTCAATAGCAATAGCAGAGTCAAATTTAAATAATATGGGCGACGGGGCTGTAGATCCCGTTTTGTCAGAAAGAATGTAATATTTCCTCCGAAGAAAAAGAACAACAAAATACGCTTTAATTTCATTTAAATTGATATTTATCCGTTCGTTTATTAGTTCCATTGTTTTCATTTTCTTGGTTTGACAAACATCGACAAAAGACCAACGGAACTATTTGTCTTAATTTTCACTTGATGCACAGAACGATGTTCCTTGTTTTACAATAACCTAAACTAACAACTTATGATGGCCGTTGCATATCCGAGCAAATGCACCACTTTAAATCAACAAATGGCTCAATCAATAACTATTTCTTCACGCTGAGTCGTCGCCAAACGAATGCAGAAATCTACCATTATGAGCAGCCTCATAACTTTCTTTGTATCATTCTCAACTGGCTTTAGAAACGTTAAACTCAGTGTTATGCACCAGATTTGCTCAAGGGTGTGAATGACTAGCGCGTTTAGCTTTCCAACTTCTTTGTTGGATATAGAGTCAAATAAATACAGCGGGAAACAGCCAAACAGTGGCGTAGTCTAGTGTCAGAGAGCTGGTGTATAAGAGGAGAGAGGGATAGTTTGGTCTCAATTAAAACAAGGATGCTTTGAAGTGTTTTTATTATCAGGGGGATCCTTGAATGTCGTCTAAACGACGCTGATGACATGCAAAGGCCTCTCCGTGTCACCATTTTGATCGCGCGATCTTTTCAAACGTGTTTCAAGTTTTTCCTTCAAGAAGAGACGAATTTGACCATAATCAAGTACTTCCAAGTAATATAAACTATCGACAAGCTGCCTCTCTCGGACTCCTGGTGAGCCTGAAAGCGCGCACGCTCGTCTGGGTGTCAACAGTTGCGATTAAAGGGGACAGAACAATATATGTTTCTTTTTCAACACTTTCTCGTTTTTGAATAGTTTTGGAATCCGCTTTCCCTAGTCTCTTTCCGGTAAGCCAACCATTCTCTAGTTAGTAGGCCTATAAACTGTTGTATCCAGCAGTGTTGGTTTGGAAAACATGATCACACATGATGATTTAACCATTTCAAAAACAGCCTTGATCATCTCCTTAAAGTAGCTAGTTGTAGTGCAAACAAAGACGGCAATTAATATAATAATTATAAGACTCTTCTTCTTATTCTTAATAATAATAATAATAAATTGCATATTAGAAATACAAACGAAGCTCTTACAAGTGTGAAGTGAAACCACCGAAACACAAGACGCATCCGTTTAACTTTTTAAAGACTTATCAGAAAAGTTAAAATATAGTTTATTCACTTGTCACAATATGGTGGACTCGGCCTAACTATGAATTCACATTCTGATTACATCAAGGAACAGCCTGCCTCTGTAATGGAAGAAAAAGAAGAAGCTTCTTTGTTAAATGCAAGGCAGAGCTCATTTGAGTGTGAAATATAATTTCTTTGTGAAATAATTGAGGCGATAATCACACTTCCGGAAACTGTCCTGCATTATTTAACAAAGCTCTTTTAATAGGGGATTAGCGGTTCACACACAATTCAACGCTCTATTTAATGTCATCATTACATGACAAGGGCTGACTGGAATTCGCATGCAAAATAACAGGACAGGTGCAATGACAAATAAATAAATATATAAATTACCCAATAACAAAAAGCAAGTTAAAACAGAATAGGCTACTTTTAGACCTCTTTGCCCCCATACAACCTCAAACTGGTTTTGCCGTTCAAATAGTTAAATAAGTGAGTACCTCCATATTACTTACTAGCGTTAAATAAATAAATAAATAAATAAATAAATCGTATTTTATAAGGCTCAGCTTTGTCTGTTTTGACTTCTCAAGTTTCTCAAGTAAGGGTTATAGGGATTTGGTTTTGGTGAAATAAGCTTTCAGCTCGAAACGAAGGAAAGCCAAGCCGACTGGAACATTTCACATTGTTCATTATGTGTGTTATTTTGAACATTGACTAAATTAATTTTAAACATTTAGTTCCAACTGTTTTTGAGTTACTTGACAAGCATATGAATCATGAAATAAATATATAGAAGAAATAATATATAGAGGAAACGGCATGCAAGCTATTTTTTAAAGCGTGAGGTAAATTATGTCCAAACATTTGCTGAATTTGAGTATATTTAAAATGCTGTGATTATGCAGTGTAAACTAGGACGCCCCAGTACACCATTTATTTATTTATTTATTTATTTATTTATTTATGTATGTATGTATGTATGTATTTATTTATTTATTTATTTAGTTATTTATTTATTTAGTTATTTATTTATTTATTTAGTTATTTATTTATTTGTTTGTTTGTTTGGTTGTTTGTTTATTTATTTATTTATTTATTTGTTTGTTTGTTTATTTGGTTAGTTAGTTACAATAAAGTGTACATAACACAATTTAATTACAGTATAATATTAACATATACGTAATTACATACTAACTATATGTATATATGCTAATTATAACACAAACACTGCTATGGAAAAGATGTAAGATCCTTCCTGAAAACTCCTTCCTAAATGAGCTCTACTTTGCTTTGGTAAACTTCCCAGGTTTGAACGTTAAAATCGTACCAACAGAAGTTTCATTCATTTAAAAGAAACATTAAACATGAAGTTTCAGCACCTGTAAAAATGGCAGCCACGGGACTTAAAGAGTCCATATCGTTTCAGTTTTGTCTCACGTGAAACAAACTTGAACTTAACACATCATGACATCACTTCCTGCACCATTACGTTTGGAGGTGGAACGGAGAAGAGAAATGTTACTGGCATGGACTAAATGAAAAGAAATAGCAAGAAATTACTAATAAATGGGGTAGCCTGATTGAATACGCTCCTAAATAGTCAGATTACCACAGTCTTCTATTCGGTGGCGCTGAGTTATTGTACTTTCATGGATGAAGGAGTTTTTTCTCCAGTGAGAATCAACCCCTATAGTTAGCAGAGTGAACACTGATCTCTAACAACCTTCAGATAATGTAGCAGAATGTACCGCACTACTTCGCACCTGCACTCTGAATGGGAACCTTCTTTCAATGTAAGATACGCTTGTTGGCCTTGCATCTCAAAGCAGCTGCTTGAATGAGCCGAGCGACCCGTGCTTATTTCGATTCCTTTGATCTCTGATCACTCTCTCTAATTTGTTCGTATAGTCTGCAACAAGGACTTTCTATTTGCGATTATTAAAACATTAGAGTCTATAAGGGCCGCATGAACAGGATAGATGCCATGCAAAGCAGCACGTTATGTGGGGAGCATCCTGCGCTTCCCCCAAAAAAAAAAAGCAGATTTCATGCATTAGTCAGTGAATGCGTATGTCATTGCTGTTTTATTTAACGGCAAAGCATCTAATAGAAGGATCCAAGAGAACACAGCACTCTTTAAACATTACAGCAACTGAAAAGCTGATCATTTGCAATGCTTGACTGCTGATATGAGGGAAAGGTTGCACTTTTCCCCGAAAATATATTAGGTCCAAGTCAAGATAAGATGCAATACAAACGCAGATGTGCACTGTGTGTGTCTGCACGACATTCATAGTAGGGTAAGCTGCCGTGTTTTACCTGCAATTATTTCATTTCTGGTTCTTAGGCATATTCACCACCAACCTTTTCGCGTGACTAAAAACAAAAACAAAACAAAGAAAGTTCCTTTTCACATTTGCCTAGTGCGCTGTTATGAACGTTTTATTTGATTTGCTGGTTTTAGCTGAACATATTGCCTTTATCTAGGCTTATGCAAATCAAAAAAGAAAATATTTAATATTGATATTCCAAAGGGAAATGCCTCTATATCGTAAACATTGTTAACTCAGTTGGGTTTCCTTTAAGGACTCGCATATATTACAGTTTAATGTAATGTACAGCATTCAGAATGGTCTAGCATCGCACAAACTGACACTGAAATGCAAACAAAAGTAACCAAATGAACTGAATTTCCATATTTTCAGTGCTCCCTATGGATGGTCCACCTTAATCTCCAGATGCCTCACCTGGATGGTCAAAACTGTGCTGGCAATAGG